TGTAGTTCTTTGCAAGTGTTTAACCTTCAAGGTTATAAGTGGGATATCTACATTGTGGTGTTGTTTGCAAGTGTTTAACCTTTAAGGTTATAAGTGGGATATCTACATTGTGTTGTTGTTTGCAAGTGTTTAACCTTCAAGGTTATAAGTGGGATATCTACATTGTGTTGTTGTTTGCAAGTGTTTAACCTTCAAGGCTATAAATGGGATATCTACATTGTGTTGTTGTTTGCAAGTGTTTAACCTTTTATAAGTGGGATATCCACATTGTGTAGTTCTTTGCAAGTGTTTAACCTTCAAGGTTATAAGTGGGATATCTACATTGTGTTGTTGTTTGCAAGTGTTTAACCTTCAAGGTTATAAGTGGGATATCTACATTGTGTTGTTGTTTGCAAGAGTTTAACCTTCAAGGTTATAAGTCGGATATCTACATTGTGTTGTTCTTTACAAGTGTTTAACCTTCAAGGTTATAAGTGGGATATCAAGTAATAATCGAATTATCTTAGTAATATATTAATATATTTGATATTTTATGTATCATGGAACTTTTCAAGAAAATTGTTAATCTGTACTGTTTCCAATATTGCTGTGATGGAATCCTTTTGGTCTGTGATTAAGAGAGATTGTACTAAGAATATTTAGATCATATTCACTAGCATTGTGTCATTAATGATTAATTACAACAAGCGATTACTACTCACTACACTAAGTAAAAGTTATTTTTCAAAAATATCCTGTTGAACCTTTAAGATTAAAATTGGGATGTACAGTTTTCATTTGAGTTCTGTTAGAGATTACCAATGACAGCAACGACATAAACTTACCTAATGCTGACATTAAAGACTTCAATGTCCCGTCACAAAGTCTTAAACAGTTCAAGCAGCTAATGACTCTGCGGCAAATGAGGAATAACAAGCTACCCGCTCTGACCCTGAGCTGACGTCACAGCGACTTCCGGGTCACTGCCGGTTGACAAAAACTATATTAATATTCTGTCTACTAATGAACTTGACAAGTGGAGAAGTTGCCATCTGAATGCAGCAAAATCACTAATTAATTCTATGAACATTCCTCCTCCCACTGGTATAAATTAAAAGACATCAAGGATGGCTTGCAAATTTCAAAATATATTTTATCAGATTTCACAACCAACCTCACTAGTTGGCCTCATTCTTCAGCAGCAACTGAACAAATATTTTCCCGAATGAACTGTTTAAAAACTAAGCAGACCAGTTCTTTGAAAGCAGCCACGGTGAAGAATGGAATTATTGCAAGAGATGCAATCATAAGAGGCAATAACGACTGTACAACATGGACACCAAATAAAGACATGTTGAAAGATTTGCAAAGTGCTGCTGTTAGACAAAGATATTTAAAGAGACTGGAAACCCAGAAATAGGCGGTGACGACTGAAACTAGATGGGAAGAAGACCTGTCAGAGTAACATTTTTAAAACAGTGAGTAAATGTTTAGTTTCCTAACTATAAAATACTATTTGACAATCCTGGCCCCCCCCCCCCCCAATAGCTTGGGTTTTTATCAGCCCATCTTGGGTTTTAAATAAGAAAATCCTATTGGCAGCCCTGGTCTGAGAGGGGAAAAAATCAGCAATGGCAAAATAACCGGAAAAAAAAGCGTCAAGATGGCGAACGAAGTAACACATGCACCCAACAAAACATGGGAATTAAGCCTTTACGAGCTTCACAGAACCCCACAAGAAGCAATTACGGATAATACTGAAATCGCGGTGTCTCCTAGAAGTTTGCACAGTGAGCTAATGTGTCCTATTTGCCTTGATATGCTTAAAAACACAATGACAACAAAAGAATGTTTGCATCGATTTTGCCAAGAGTGCATCATAACAGCGCTAAGAAGTGGAAACAAAGAGTGTCCGACGTGCAGGAAAAAACTGGTGTCTAAAAGATCTCTTCGTCCAGATCCGAATTTTGATGCTCTCATTTCTAAAATCTACCCTAGCAGAGATGAGTACGAGGCACACCAGGAAAGACTTATGGCAAAGTTGAACAAGCATCACAATACTGCTGCCTTGTCTTCCAGCATTGAAGAAGGTCTTCGCCTGCAAGCATTAAACAGAGCTCAGCGCGTACGTAAACAACAGTCAGAGAGAAGAAATGACGAGGAATCAAACGATGACAATACTTCCGAAATGCCAATAATGGCAGATAATGAGGAGAGCATGACGGCAGACACAGTCGCTCACAAACCAGCAAAACATTTCTCAGACGACTCTAGCACAGAAAACTCCACAGGCGAAGCGAGTATGTCAGAGCATCAGTCTCGGGGAAGTCCAGAGATAGTGATTCCACAGCTTGTCAATGAAATTGAGTTAATTTTCAAGCCACATCCGCAGAATGCTGACCACGATCCCGCAGGTCAGACCCGCTATATAAAAACTACAGCCAACGCAACAGGTAATAGTAATTTCACTTTTGCTGCTGATGCATTATTGTACATACAGTTATGTCTAAAAGAGACCAGTATTTTTAGAAGTTAGTGTTTCTTCTTAGTATTCACTAGGTGTCAGCTCATGCAGACAAACCATGAGGGAGATACTGAAGAGATCTAAGCACTTATGAGCTGAATGGTTTGATATGCGCTGATGATAATCTGTCGACTAACTAACTAACTACTAAGCTCCTGTAGAAAGACCTTGCGTTTCGTCCAATTCGGGGCTTAATAGTTCTAGAACTTGGGTATTGCATGCGCATCCATTTCACAGACCTGGCTCGATTGTATGCTGACTCTTGGTCCCTTGCCTCTCAGGCTGATGCACTCGAAGGAAATCTCTACTATGTCTACCTTGGTCAGGCCCCTTCTTTTCTAGGGAGACCATGGAGAGATTGAGATAGGTTTGGACCAGTATGAGCCCTGGTGCACTACCAGATGTGGTTCAGCACCTGTTTTTCCTCCCGTTATTGTTTACAATAGCAGTTTTTACTTATGAGCTGTTAGCAATAGTGTATTTGTTGCCAGTATTACATGTACTCTTAACTCATTCACTACCAAGAAACTCACCCCGGGTATATTGGTTTTCACTGAAATGCAAGCTGGCCGAGCTGTAACAACCTCAGACTGTCATGATGCAAATCTGGATTTAAGCCCCGGCAAGGTGATGTTTTTCTGTCGAGGACAGAATTAAACATCCTAACCTGCACAGTCCGTGGCGACAGCACTAGCTGTGCAGCCCTATATCCTCGTACCCTCTTGTCTACGCCGTCCTTAAAAAAAAGTAGTTAAACAGAGTAGTGACACCCCTAAACTCTTCAAGACCTACTTAATTGCTACATTCACTCACTGGTCCTAGTTATTTAAACTCCTTCTGTCCCACAGTAAAATGAAAAAAGACCTTTTTCCACACCTTCAGGAATATAGTGCTGGACTTAAATGTTATAGGCCAATTGACACTCAGTGTGTTATGTGGTCAACCGCCTTTACTTCCCAGGACTTTACCTAGTACCCATTTAAGGCTGGGATCCAATGTCATTTTCTTTTTAAAAAGTCGGCTCACTGACCCATAGTGCTGTTATTGCAACACCTCAGACGCAGACATTGTTTAGTGCAGATGTTCATTGGTGTTTCAGTCTCTGTATTGCATTAACATTGGCATACAGCTAGTCAGCACTGGCCATCACCACAGGGGCTATGATTTCCATGTCTGCCCAGAGCACAGTATAAGGCAGTATAATCTAACAAGACTGAAATATACCAACAACCTAAACAGCAGCAAATTTTGAATTAGGGAAATGTGTGGTCTTGAGGCATGGCTTCCGGCTGGAGGTTCCTGGTTCAAGCCCTGGTGAAGGCTGGGATTTTTTCACGTGAGCTTCTAGCAATTTTCCCCTGGTTTCTGGGTAGTCAGATCCAACGCCCGTGTGTATTGTTGTGCATGTAAAAAAATCCATAGGCAGTTGGAAATGAAAAAAAGAGTAGCCTAATGGCACTGGACAGGCAAAATTTTAAGATCTACCCAAAGTATTTAAGGATCCTCGCCAGTGCTACAGAGTTTGTGCACTGTGTGAGATTCTCTGGACTCAGGCTTGAGTCAGAAGTAGAATGGAGCACTTATGGGTTACTACTCTTGTGCCGTGATGTTGATCCGTCGTCTAAACCTAAACCTAAATCTTGAATAAAGAAGACGTACATTTCGCCAGGGACACTATGACTAGTAAGACAAACCTACCATGCTTATATGGTCAGATTGGAGGAGGGTTGTCTTGAGGCTAACTACTGGTTCACAGAAATCTTTAGCTGCCAAATGACTAACCAGTCATGAACAAGTATACAGATGGCTTGCTTGTGTTGGTTGAGAGCTTTTTCTTCATTGGAAAATGAATACCACTATTTTGGTCGACCTCTATGCTCTGCTCTCATTGTGTCTGTGTGAAAGGGCTGTATGTAGCGCACGCACTATCCGGTGGTAATCGTGACACATACTGAACCATTTGATCTGTTGTCTCTTGATCTCTTTATGAAGTTTAGTAGTGGCTCAATCCCGACTTGTTTCCTAAAATCATCATTTCTGATCTTGTCTCTTCAAGTTACTTTTAAGATGTGTTGTAGACATTTCATTTCTGTTCTTTTCTATTTCCTGTTGATATTGTGTGAGTTAATTTTGGCTTTGACTATGGCTTAGATGCTTTGGGTATATTGGTATCTCCATAAAGTCCTCCCAGAAATGGGGGAGAACTTTACACTGATTTCACAGTGTAGAGTGTCAGAAATCTTTGGATGTGAGAGAGAAGTAGCCCTGAAAATGTAATGGAAAAACAGCAAGGGGGGAAGCAGAGAAACTACAAAGTAATGCATATATTACTTGGAATGCTTATCCAAATGGCACGGTTGTACAAGAACCCTGACCTGATCCATGATTATGGGGAGAAGAATCATGACTGTCTTAACGCTGATTGGCATGACATGACAGTGAGGATGATGATACCATTTGTCTCTAATGGGTTGCTTTGGGCAAAGATTTAAAGATTTGTAAATAAGTAAATATTTTCACAAGTAAATTGCCAGTAAAAAATTACAGTAAGGGTTTTACTGAGTGGTTTTGGTAAAACTGCATCTGTTGATCTATCTTCAGCAACATGTCAGTTCATGTGGATGCACCCTTCCAAGCTGTGACATAAAGCTGTCAGAAATTGTCTTTTTTTCAGTCTCTCTTTTGGTGAATCTTTTCAGTTTTCTTCTTCTAAAAGTGAAGGACCCTTTCCCACACCTTCAGGCATGCAGGGCTAGACCTTTATTTTATAGACCGATTGGCACTCGGTGGGTGATGTGATCAACATCACACCAGCCGCCTTTACTTCCCAGTTTACCTGGAACCCATTCATGACTGTGTCAGCCTGAAAGCCAAGGTCATTTTTGGAAAACTCTTGTCTCCGTCGGGACCTGAACCGGCAACCTTCAGATCCGCAGGAGAGCATCTAGCCACTAAACTACAGTTTTCCACACACAAAATGGGATTACTCGTTTTGCCTGTGCCCGGAATTGTAAGCATTCCTTTGTGAAACGACATCTCTGGGGTCTCCAGAACCTGTTGCTTACTTACTAATTATCCAGGATTCATAGCTATGTATTTATCTTATGCTTCTGCTTTTAAAATGGGGGTTTGGATTCTGTGGTTTACAGCTAGACTGTGATATCTACACTGTGTGGCCCAACACATCTGATTTTAGCAAATCCTTGGTCGCCTTTTATGTCAGGATTGTTAAAGAGCACTTGGTCTGTTTTTTTTTCTCTCCTTAAAATGGGCAGGCAAGAATTTCTAACCTCCATTTTCAGGAATTTATCACATAAGATATTCACTTAGGATGCGCTTTCATTTTTCAGTTGACCACCTTTCCAAGTACCTGGCCATCAGACTGTCTGTGGATGTCCATGATGGAGATGAAGGTGAGGTTCTGATTTCTAGATTAATGATTTGTCAGTATCAAGGATGAGAAATATGGACACATCGCAGCATCTTTGTTTATTTACATTGCCTGTGTAGTGTTTATAAGTTGACACAGAAACTTATAATAACGTGACACAGAAACTAATAATAACATGACATAGGTACTAATATTAATTTGACACAAATAAATAATATTTTGATGCAGAAATAAACAGGTGGAGATCCCCTGAGGCCATTGAAATAGTGTAATAAATAATTGACATGTATTGATCGGCACTCGGAGAAAAAAGTGAGGACACAGGAATTACCATGCTGGGAGTTTGATTTGTCAAATTACGACAGCACCTACTTGCAGGAACAGGTCTACTTCAGTGCATGACCAACTTGGTGTGGCAGGTTTGATTCCCAGGATAGTAACTGCAGCTTTTCATTGTTACATTGTCTAGTTACATAGAACTTGTTCTGCTGTATGGCAGCGACATCTTGCAATGTCAGTGAACAAATTAAGAAGAATTTGGAAGCAACAGAGATGTGGTTACTGAGACGAATGTTACGAATACCTTGGACGGCCAGAGTAACTAACAACAGTTGCTTCAAAGAAGCTTATGTGTGCTGGTCAATAGATGTCAGTTTATTTATAATTGGACATTGTTGTATGATTCAATGCTAGTAGTGGTTCTCATCCATAACATATATAGTTATTGTAGTATGAAGTGTTGTGTGTCAATGTTAAACTTCATTTTATGAGGTGGAGTGATCTCTTTGTGTGGGTTCTGTCATTTATGGAGAGAACAATAAATATTACTCTAGACAACGAGAGATCTTGAATACAGAAGGCCCCACATTTTACCACAGCCTGAAAGGGAAGGAAAGAATAGTATTAATAACCTGATGCATCTGGTAAGATTGACTCGGGGGGAGGGTTGTACGTATGTTAACTAGTCCACAGACAAATCTAGCTGCAGACTCCAACCGCTCATGAAGTCTACTCCCTGTGTGGGTTTTAGGGGAGAAAAAGAATAGACCCACTGTGCCCTGCTGACCTTGTTTTAAGAGATGATTATTTTGAAGTTGGAGTGCATCTGCCTGAGAGAGGAAGAGCCGCAGTCTGCATACAGATAAGCCAGATCTGTCAAATGGATGCATGAATTTCTGGAATGATGATGAAAATATGGTGGGGGGGGGGTGACTGCAGTCGTCGAGCTGATTGCAAAAAAGCCCAACGGAGGGAATGGAAAAGATGGTTATGTTTGTGTGCACCTTTTCCTTTTGGTTGAGCTTTCTAGTCACATTTTGTGTTACATTCAGCATTTCAAGTTCTGGAACAAGACCTTCTTGAGCTGTAAACTCGGGCGAAAAAGTTCTGGTTGTTCATCCACTTCTGGACTCTAGTCCAGTTCCAGAACCTAAGTGTTTGTGCACATCTGTTTTACAGATCTGAATCATTTGTATGCAGATTGTTGGGTCCTTACCTCTCAGGCACATGCACTCCGACTTTGAAGGAACCTCCCAGTTGGTCAGCTTGTATGACATGCTTTTGGATAGGCAGTGGCTCAGTTCTTGTTTTTCCAACAGTGGGGCACTGGAACCCACACGTGTTGCTAAGATACGAACATACTTCATTGGGCCATAAAGAGGAGAGGAAAATAATACATTCCTGCCTTTTGAGTTTCTGCAGCAGATACCGCTGGCATAATCATTTGTCTTGGCTCACAGTTGTTTGTGTGTGTGTGTGTGACTCTTTAGAACTGGGTTTTACTGAATTGCTCATTACAGTTTTATGATCTTTTTCCCCTATTTTCAGTGGATGCTGCAGGTAACAGGCTGTTTGACATCTTTGTCTCCTCCCACCCTGGCCACTATGTGCTCCTGACTGGCCCCACAACACTAGAGCAGGTCAAAGAGAAGTACTGGAAGGCCAACAAACCATTGGAGATGTTCTATTCCTTGAGGAAACAGGGCTCACAGCACCCAACAGTTACAAAACTACACACAGACAAATAATTGAATGTAGTGACAGCATGCGCAGACACTACTTTTGTTCTGTGTTCAACTTGTGACAATTTCAGATCTTTGCTGCCTGTAAAGCTGACTTAAAATTGGCCATTATTCACCAGTAGTAAATGGCTCTTTTTTTTGTATTAGTGGTGCATTGGGCATATGATACTAGACTTATATTTTTATAAATCATTTGGCCTTTCTGGATGATGCTGTTAGCAACTTAGCGGCCGCCTATGCTTCCTAAGACATTACCTGGTATCCATTAGTCACAGATCTTCTGCCGCTGTTAGTTATTGAAATGAGATGATTGAAAAATGGATATTATCTGCCCCTGCCCAACCCTGACAAACACAGATTGTGTACAGTTAGACAAAAAAGAAATAGCTCAACACCTATGTACTCGAACAAATATACATTTAGTTTAACAGACATAAACGACAAATGAGTAGTAAAGTAAAAGACTCCTTTTCACGCCTTTAGGTGCATAGGGCATATAGGGCTAGACCTATATTTTGTATAGATCAATTGCCACAAGATGGGTGATGTAGTCAGCATCACGCTGACCGCCTTTACTTCCCGGAACTGCACCGGGTACCCACTCAAGGCTGGGTTGATCTGAGAGTCGATGTCGTTTATTTAAAAAAAAGTCCAGCTCCGCCAAGAAGCGAACACACGACCTTCCGATTTGTGGCGAGCATCCAGCCACTCCGCCATGGCGACTCCCCAATCAACAAATACCCATAAATAATTGTATAGTTAGACAGCAGACATATACAGTTAAGTAGTTAAACAGCAAAATAACAGATTCTTTAAATGATTCTTACCCCCCTTGGGAATAACAGATACTTTAAATGATTCTTACCCCCCTTGGGAATAACAGATACTTTAAATGATTCTTACCCCCCTTGGGAATAACAGATATTTGAAATGATGATTTTTACCCTCCTTGGGCAACAAAGGTTAACTTTGTGTAGCTGCTACAGATGCTCTAACAATAGTTTAATTAGAAGTTGGATACAGTATCTGGAATCTGCCTTGTTTGATTGCCATCCCGGCTGTGACTTTTTGGTCAGACTTTCAGGTGACACCCCAAATTAAGAAAACAGAGACAGACAAATGCTTTTTCCTCTATTTATTTTTTAAGCACGTTGGTCAGTAGTTCATTCTCACATCAGATCATTCATTCCGTAAGTGCGTGGATCCCCTCTAGACTAACATCCCTCATTATGTAGCAGCTAAAGGCCACAGTTATGTATTGGTTTACTACACTTCTTTGGTGCCCTACATAGCTCTGTCTCTCTCTCTACTCCTCAACTTATTTGTTGGTTTCATTTTTGCAGTATTTGTAGCACCTTGAATGCTACCCTTGACTAACTGCGAATGAATATGTACAGCTGTGTGACATATATGTATATAATGCATATCTTAATTAATTTTGTTCAGTGTTTTTATCTGTTATTGTTTATTCATTACCTTAGACCAGGGCTATTCAACTGGTGTCTCTAGCCCGACTATCTTTATTTTCAAACTTTAGGCCCCCTGGTAAACTTAGTTGAATAGCCCTGCCTTAGACTTCAGTTATATAGAAATGTTGATATGAATTTGTGAATTATGGGCCCAGAACTGTAGTCTTGCATCGACATCCTCAATCACATATTCATGTTTAGAGATGTTTGTGAGTGCCAGTATCTTGCAAGAGCTGCTTGACTTGTGTATTTACTGCTGCATCACTAGAATGTGCGTAAATGTATTTACTGCGTTTCTGATGATTTCATGTTTGTATTAAATCTGTGGCCAAGGAGTTATAAATACCAGTTTTGTAATTCCAACAAATTGGTTTCAATTTAGCTGTGGCTGATTTGGCACCAGAATGCTTTGCATTGATTTTGCCAGCAACATGAGTGTTGCCTGTTATAAAGCAATGGCCAACTACTGGAAGTAAAATTGCTTAGCAAAACCGATTTATTGATTTAAAGAATTGATATCACAGCACACTGGGCCTAGCCATAGGTGCTCCATCTCCCACAGCAAATCTCTTAAGGTGTAAAGGCTACCAGTTCCCATAGCAAACTGAACTCGTAGTTCTCTCCTCTCATCCGTCCCTCCTTGCCTGATCCACATCTGATTCCTCCTTCACACATTCTTACACATGTTATTTCATCTAATCTTGTGTCTTCTATGGACATTCATAATATGTGGTCTTCAGAATGTCTCCCTAGACCAGTGTAAATGTTCCTGTGGCTATTGATTTTGAAGCCAGCATATCCACTCTTTTATTTCCTTGCACTCCTGCATTTTTAGTAAAATCTCTAATGGCCAGCCAATGCTGGGGTTGGTTTGTAACATCTCTAAAGAGGGCTCACTTTTTTTTCCAGTGTCATGTACATCATTATAGCCTCAAGAGTTTGACTACAAATACGTTATGAAAACACAACTATGTTGAAGACACCAACAGTAGATCAAGCAGCTGTGTTTCTAGAGATGGAAGTAATTAATTACAGTAACAGATCAGTTTACTTATTTAAATAATAATTTTGATAATGAAGGATATACAAAGACTGAAGTTATGACATGCACTGGCAAGGCATCAAAAGCTTTTACAAATTACTTGAACCAAATCTGGAACTCTAAATTGTAGAGTTTTAAAATCAAGTAACATATTTTAAATTCTAATGTTATTTTAGTTTGAACACATGCAAGAGAAAGTTGGAGAACAACTAAAGACATGGAAGTTAAATACAATCAGAAACAAATGTCTGAGAAAAATGGAAAACAACTAAAGACATGGAAGTTAAATACAATCAGAAACAAATGTCTGAGAAAAATGGAAAACAACTAAAGACATGGAAGTTAAATACAATCAGAAACAAATGTCTGAGAAAAATGGAAAACAACTAAAGACATGGAAGTTAAATACGATCAGAAACAAATGTCTGAGAAAAATGGAAAACAACTAAAGACATGGAAGTTAAAAACAATCAGAAACAAATGTCTGAGAAAAATGGAAAACAACTAAAGACATGGAAGTTAAATACAATCAGAAACAAATGTCTGAGAAAAATGGAAAACAACTAAAGACATGGAAGTTAAATACGATCAGAAACAAATGTCTGAGAAAAATGGAAAACAACTAAAGACATGGAAGTTAAATACAATCAGAAACAAATGTCTGAGATAAATGGAAAACAACTAAAGACATGGAAGTTAAATACAATCAGAAACAAATGTCTGAGATAAATGGAAAACAACTAAAGACATGGAAGTTAAATACAGTCAGAAACAAATGTCTGAGAAAAATGGAAAACAACTAAAGACATGGAAGTTAAATACAGTCAGAAACAAATGTCTGAGAAAAATGGAAAACAACTAAAGACATAGAAGTTAAATACAGTCAGAAACAAATGTCTGAGAAAAATGGAAAACAACTAAAGACATGGAAGTTAAATACAATCAGAAACAAATGTCTGAGAAAAATGGAAAACAACTAAAGACATGGAAGTTAAATACAATCAGAAACAAATGTCTGAGAAAAATGATGAAAATAAAATGGGATGAATTCAGGAGTGAAAAAATAAGAGAAATGTCTGGACAACCACTTGTATCAGCCGTTATGAGGCAAAGAAGATGGTGCTTCATTGAACATATCCTGAGAAGAAACCAGCAATTACCAAACACTCATTAAAATGGGAAATAGAGGGATTAAAGAGGCAAGGATGCCTCAGAGAACCCCTGAAGTGAATGTTGATAAAAGAGGCCAACGCTGCTGGACTGGATTCCATCCATGATATTGAACTGATCGCACAGGGTAGAACAAAATGGAGGAATAGACTACGAGCCCTTTGTGACAGGTAATGACACAACATGATAATGAATGTACATCATTGTATACATAATTTTTTGGTTCTTCCTAGGCATGTACATACACTTGAAGCATTTGTAAACATTACAAGTAATCAGTAAATGAGAACAGTGTATGTGTTTTATTTCGGCAATAATCCTTTTTTGTACATTTACATTGTTTGAAGAGAAAACCATTTGTTTCGGAGTTCTAGTTCGCATACATAACTTCTTGGTTCTGGTCTGCAAACATACATTATTCCTTATTCTAGAGGAGCGGCTGGCAGAACAATTAGGCTCTCAAGCGGAGACCTGGCCCTTGTTCTGGTTTTCAAACAGACTCCTTATTCTCGCTCAAATACATGACTCCTTATTCTCGCTTGTATACATGACTCCTTATTCTCGCTTGTATACATGACTCCTTATTCTCGCTTGTATACATGACTCCTTATTCTCGCTTGTATACATGACTCCTTATTCTCGCTTGTATACATGACTCCTTATTCTCACATGTCCTATTCTCATGACATGACCTTATTCTCGCTTGTATACATGACTCCTTATTCTCGCTTGTATACATGACTCCTTATTCTCACTTGTATACATGACTCCTTATTCTCGCTTGTATACATGACTCCTTATTCTCACTTGTATACATGACTCCTTATTCTCACTTGTATACATTCTTCCTCAAGCACCACAGCAGATTGACAGAAAATTATAGCAGAAGGCATGATATCGGGAAAGAGAAACAGGAGCCTACCAACACGAAGGGCACAGGATATAAGTGACTGCTTGGATATGAAAGTGCACGAGGCAAGAGACCTATTTTCTTTCAGGTACACTGCGATGAGCGCGACCTTCTGCAAAGGACCTGCTACATGATGATAAGGATTTATGATACCGTTTACAGTGAATTATGATGAAATATGATACTGTTTTACAGTAAATTTTCTGCTGCCATCAATCAGCATGTCCTTTACAGAATATTAGTCTCATCTTGGCGCGCCTGAAAGTCTGTCTCTAGCCAATTCCCCAGCCCTATGTGCTTTCATAGTCAGTATATCTTCAATGTCCTGTATTAACTTTCACAGAGGTCTGCCACGTCCTCATTTTTCAGAACCTGCACCTCCATCACCGTTCTCTCCAGGCCACCCTGACATTTA